CGGTGGGGGGGGGGGAATAAAACCATTCCCCTCTTTCCCTTTGAATCCACTCCGGCCAGGCTGTGTTCTCACCCAAGGCCGCTGCTCCTCTCCTCTCCCCAGCTCTCTGCTGGGTTTTGCCTCACCCCTGGGTAGTAGCAGCTCAATTGCTGCACTGCCCTTTGGGGTTCCCTACACCCCGCCCACCCTTTTAAGACGAAGCCTCCTCCAGTTATCTTAATTTGAGTGTATTATATGTTTCATACTGAGACCCTGACTGATACTTCTCGGAGCAACTTATACATTTTTTTCCTAGAATGAGGTCATATATATACAGTTTGAAACATTATTGTCTTTTTTTAAATTATGAGCATTTTCCAATGTCTTTGAATGTTTTAACTGCTGCATAAAATCCCATTTCATAGCATTGCCCTATTAATTTTAGTATTACCTATTTTGGAAATTTTGAAAAATGGAATGATGCACTATTTTTTTTTTTTAATTTCTGGCTTTTTAAATCCAACTTCATGTTGTTGAAATTCATCCACATTGTTTTGCAATAGTTTGTTCCTTCTAATTAATATATAATATTCCATTATATGCAAATGCTACAAATAAATGTCTATTTCACTGTAGATAGCATTTCAGTAGATTCCTGTTTGAAGCTATTATAAACAGTGTTTTTATGAACATCTGTACATACCTTTAGTGAATATATATATTTATTTCTTCTAAGTATATACCTAAGAGTGTAACGATTGGTTATGCTCTTTCCCCTCTTATTGTCTGTTCAGGTGACTTCCTTTTTTTTCATAAAAATAACACTGCAATGAGCACTTTTCTACATATGTATGTGAATTATTATTTCATTGGGATAAACTTTTAGAAATGGGATTGCCTGCTAAGAACATTTTTAGGCTCTTGATACACATTGCCAAATTGCCATTTTATATTCTAATCACCAGGTTATGAAGATTCTTAGCAAAACACTATTTTCAAATATATATACAAATGACTCAACTTGAAGCACATAACATGAAATTCTACATCCCAGGTAAGCCTGGATTGTCTTCAATTGCTATACTGAGGGGAAAAATATATTGACTTAAACCTTTCACAGCATCTCCTCTACTAACGAGCAGAGTATATTTCACCGACGTTGCCATTTTGAAAACTATCAGCAAGAAAAATAATATAGCAGAGATGTGGACAGACTCCCAGGATGTCAGAGAGCATATAGTATCAAAAATAGCTAAATTCCAATGAAAGGATGTGAAATTCACTTATTCGACAGATAGATGCTGAGCACAAACTCTGGGCCAGGCTATCTGGTCAATGCTGGGAGAACAAAGCCAAGTAAGAGAGAGTCCCCTGGGTATGTTTCCTGTTTAAAGGAAGGGGGATAGATGAGATCAACATGCTGGTATTGCCTGTAAGGAACCGGGCGCTCTATGTTTAGCTCCTTACAAGCATTCACTCATTTAATCCTCCCAACTTCCTGTGAGGTAGGTACACTGCCTCATTCCGTAAGAGATTAGAGCGATGGAGCGCCTTGCCTAGGATCACAATCGTGAGTGACACTNCTCATTCCGTAAGAGATTAGAGCGATGGAGCGCCTTGCCTAGGATCACAAGTGAGTGACACGNTGTGAGGTAGGTACACTGCCTCATTCCGTAAGAGATTAGAGCGATGGAGCGCCTTGCCTAGGATCACAATCGTGAGTGACACTAGTGACACAGCCAGAATTCAATTGCATTAAAGAGAAGAGAGGAAATGGATGTTTATTTTTTTCCCCATTATCCTAAAAGTGTCTATATTTCTACTTCTCATTTTACAAAACAACCTTTCTAAGTCATATGGGTGGTGCAAATAGTACTCACTTTGAGGATGGGATGGGGGAGGGGCCTGGGGTGGGAGGCGGGGTGTGATATTTGTCCCAGCTCAATTGTTTAAAGGTTCTCTTAGACTTGATTAAGAGACTGGCGGGTAATATTGAAAATTAACCTAACATAAATTGTTGATGCATAAATACTGTTATTTTTGTTTGTTTTTGCAACAGCAGATAATCAGTAGTCACCGATAATTAGAGCTACTTTGCCACAACTTGACTACTCAGCACACCAAGAGCCCTTCAAACACAGTGGCTGCAAAATAGGACCACTGAGCAATTAAGCCTTGGACCTTGTTACTGAGGTGCCTGT